GGACAATTTCAAATAAATAGAAAATGGAGAGACTAGTATAATGAACCCTTATGTGCCCATCACCAGCTTCAGTAATTGTCAACTCATGGCCATTTTTGCTCCCTCTATACCCCCACCCGCTCGCGTCTCCCAGGTTATTCTGAAGCAAATCCTAGACATCGTATCATTTTATCTATACATTTTATCTAAAGGATGGAGCTTACTTAACCTTATTTTTGTCTATGAAGCCTACACATCTCATTTTTTTCCCCTTTTTCTCAATGGGAAATGATGAATAATTTTCTGTCTGCTTTAGGATCCTTGATGACATTGAAGTTTATGAAGAACAAATTTCATTCAAACTGGAAGAGCTGGTCACCATCTCCTCTTTTCTGAACTCCTTTGTGTTTAAGATGATCTGGGATGGAATTGTAGGTAAGGTGAAGACGTCAGCCATCGCGTAATTGAGCCTACATGTAGGGAGGCCACAGTCTGTAACATCAACTGGTTCTTAGCTTTATTGTCTGTCAAAGTTAATCAGAAACGCACCTTTATTCACATAATTGGAAGCTTTATTTCTTCACTTTCTATCTGTGACCTCCTAAGATAATAGTGTGGTTATGGAAGTCTTAATCTCCCAGGCATCCTTCAGGATTTACATGTATGTGTGAAGGATTGTTAATTTTGCCCTGAACCTCCTTGTGATTCTTTGAGTTGATTTCTGTGAAAATAAAACATGTGCCAGGTCACACTTCAAATTAGAGTTCACCTCCTGCAGTGTTTCCAGTTGTTCAATACAAAGCTGCTTAGATTAAAAGGTCTTTTGGATGACATACTTGTGGGAGACAACGTGAGTGATTCTAAGAGATACTCAGGTCCTGCAGACACTTGGAACATACCCAGGGTGCCTTTTAATTCCATTGGTTCCAAGTAAAATCCAGAGTGAAGGAGATGAAGATCTTGATGGGACTTGATGATGACAATGGAAGGAGACAAGAGGCTGTCCTCCAAACTCCCCAGTTCTGATCAGCTCCGTGAGTGACCCTGCCATGTGTTTGCTCCACAGAGAATGCCAAGGGCGAGACCTTGGAGCTGTTCCAGTCCGTCCACGGCTGGCTGATGGTGCTGTATGAGCGGGACTGCCGGCGGCGCTTCGCCCCCGAGGACCACTGGCTGCGAAAGTGAGGACCGGGGCTGGGAGAGGGATTCATGGAGGCCAGAGACCCCTCCGCCCTCTGCCGGCAGCAGAGCTGCCCGAGTGCTCTGCACTCATGTTCTAGGGCACGAGAGGGGTTTGTCCCTCTCCTGCCTCCTCCTTCTGCATCAGGAGAGCTGCTGTTCCTATAAAGCACCTGTTAGCACAGGTCACCAGCAGTCGCTTCTGATAAGACATGCTTACACTGAAGATGATTAGAGCTTGTTAGTGGTGACAAAGCCAGATCACATTTAGCAAATGTTTCTTACCCAAACTGGGGAGAAAAGTTCTTTCAGCTGAACTGAACAACAGGTTATGATTGTTAAATGGTAGTTTTCATCAGCAGAATTAGCAGGATAAAAATGACAGCTAGGTTTTTTAGGGGGTGGGGTGGGGAAATCCTCTTGCAACAACTAAACATAAGATCATGTCTGCATTTTTTTCAATGACACGTCAACTCTTATGTAACTCTTGAAGTTGTTACACTAGAGTGGGGACTGGCCAACTTTTTCTGTAAAGGGCCAGACGGTAAATATTTTAGGCTTTGCAGCCCAGACAATCTGTTGCGACTACTCAACTCTGCCAGTGTAGTGTGAAAGCAGCCGTGGTCACTACATAATGAATGAGCTTGGTTGTGTTCCGTTAAAACATTATTTACACAAACAGGCAGCAGGCTGGATTTGGCCTGCAGGCTGTAGTTGCTAGCCCTGCACCAGAGAATGGTTTTCTTGTTTTAGTTATCCCAAACGCGTGTCTTTCTTTTTAAGGGACCTCAAACCTAGTGTGCTCTTCCAGGAACTCGACAAGGACCGAAAACGGGCACAGCTGATCCTGCAATACATCCCTCACGTCGTTCCTCACAAAAACGTGAGTGGTACTCAGGGCTGGGCTCCTGGTGCATCGTTCTGTTCCACCACATGGTTCCTGACTTTCCATCTTTTTATAGCGATTGGAAATAAATCAGTGAGACCATTCATTCAGGAAATGCAAACGGTGATTGGATCTTACTCTGTTAGGTATTTAAGCTAAGTACTTGGGGTACAAAGATTGCAGACGATATGAACTGGCAATTGGGGCAGAGTGGGATGGACACTACAGGGATGAGTGCTGTGGGAGCCCAGACAAGGGGACCTGACCCAGCTGGGCATGAGGGGAAGGGGGTCAGGGGAAGGCTCTATAGGCAAAAGTGGACAGTGTTTAAAGGCCTGGGGTGAGAGAGAATATGGTGCTATTGGAGAGCCAGACGTACAGTCTGCCTGGAGAGAATATAAGGGAGGGAGTCAAGAAGCTGGATGGTTTTGAGGAGCTGGAACAAGAAGGGCCTTGTAAACCAAGGGGAGGAGCTTAGATTCTGTCCAGAGCTGTCGGAGAGTTTTCAGTTTTGGAGACACCTGGTCAGAGCTCTGCTTGAGAAAGTTCCTTCTGGCTGTAGTGTGGAGGACTGGCTAGAGGCAGAGACAGTACAGCAATCTGTTCTGGACTCCGGTGAGGCCATGGGAGTAGAAAGACAGTAAAGTCAAGAGATTTTTAAGGAGGTAGCACCTACAGGCCTTGGAGAATGATGACATTCAGAGGAGAAGGAAGGGAGGAATTCAGGTGATGCTCCGATTTCTGGCTTGGGCGCCTGGGTGCTTGGGAGAGCCGTCCCCTGAGGTAGGAGCACAGGCAAGAGCAGGTCTGAATGCTGGTGAGTGACCTTTGAGCAGGTGGCATGTGAGGTGTCTGCTACTCCTCGAGGCCATTGGACACTTGGGTCTGGAGCTCAGGGGAGAGGACTGGCTGGAGATAGACTCTGCACGTGGACAGCACCCACATCTCCTAACTGCATTCCAGGCCGTGGACGAGGTGGTCAGGGAACCAGGTGGAGTGAGAGGACCAAGGGACCGAGGCCAGAGCCCTGTGGGACATGTCCCTTAAAGGGCCAGCACAAGGGGAGGAGTCACAGAGGAAGAAAACCAGCAGAGTGTGGTGTCCCAGCCCCGAGGGACATGAGAGACTTGGGAAGGGTCAGGTACTGTGGCAAGAGCGTTCAGGACATGAGGGAAAGCACTGCTCACTCCCTGGTGTGTAGTGGTCCCCCCAGAAGTGTCTGTTGGATGCTGGGACAATACTGCGCTCCTTTAAAAGAGGCCCTTACAGGTCTAGATATGCCCTCTTTTCCTTTCCTTTCCTTTTTTCTTTTTTGACAAAATAGACATTTTTAGAAAAGAGCATAAGTCACATCTTTGTAAATTAAATCTCGCTCTTCAAGGATACCTACCTCTCACTGCTCTTTGATATTGTTTTGATCTTGACGTTAATACTTATGGTTGCCATTCTTTACCCTCAAGCAGTGACTCGCATATGGATGGGGCTGTTTAAATTCTTATTGCGCTTGACAGCAGAGCCTCTCAGAAATGAAGGACCTTGTGGAGATGACTTAGTCAAACGTGCCCTCCGTGAGGGAGCCCCTCACAAGATCCCTGACCTTGCCTCAGATAGAAAACACACAGCTTTGCAAAGCAGGCCACTCTGTTGCTTTACTCTTCCCAATGGTGGAACATTCTTCCTCCTCTTAAGCTGATCTGCTTCTCTGTAACTTCTACCCTTTGGTCCTTGAACAGCCACTAAAAGTGGAATCTCTAATCTTCTGAGATTTGCAGACAACTCTCTTTTGCCTTCTGAGTCTTCTGTGTCCAGGGCTAGCATCCTTCCCTTCTCCAGCCTTTCCTCGTTGAAGTGGTTCCCAGTCCTTCATCCGCTTGGCCTAGTCCAGTTTGCTGGAGTCTGACTTAAAATGCACGCCTCATCCTGGACCTGTATGATTATGAACTCAAGCCCGGACCGTAGCGTTCCCGTATCCTACAGTCTGGACTCTCCGCGCTCTGTATCTGCAGTTCACGAATGGTGCTGCTGCACCCTGGGTTGCCATAGGATATTTTAAGGGTTTGAGGGGAACACAGTGAAATCTGTTGGACACTACATGAAGTACTAGCTTGAGTCCAGAGTTTCAGCATATGATGATGTCATATTTGCTAAGCTGGATTTTAATAATGAAATTAGGGCCGGCCCCGTGGCTTAGCGGTTAAGTGCGTGCGCTCCGATGCTGGCAGCCTGGGTTCGGATCCCGGGCGCGCACCAACGCACCGCTTCTCCGGCCATGCTGAGGCCGCATCCCACATACAGCAACTAGAAGGATGTGCAGCTGTGACATACAACTATCTACTGGGGCTTTGGGGGAAAAATAAATAAATAAAAATTTAAAAAATAAATAAAATAATGAAATTAAAATAATTTTTATTTCAGTGTATGTGTATTTTTAAATACAGTTCTAAGTTCTTAGCACATAAATACTTAAGTGGTTAGGACCCTGACTACCTAGTAATGGAACTGGTAAGTATTTCTTTTGACCTAGGAGTGCTATGAAAATAATCACTGAGCCATTAGGGGTGCCTTGGACAAGAAAGGTGAGGAACCCCTGAGATTAGTTGGCATGACTTGTGAGTCCAGGCTGTCTTCTAATTCTCACCATTTTTTTTCTTTTGGGAATTGTGGTTAAGATTGCCATCAAGGCTTTTTGTCCTTGGCTCATAAAATCTCTTTTCCCTCCCTCGAGCCCTCTTTATCTCCTGGCCCATCCTGCTCCCTGTGATGGCACCAGTAGGTCTGGGAGGGTGTCGGAGGCTTGGAATGTTAGAGTGGCGAGGGGATTCACGTTGTCCCCTGTCTCGGGCTTCACTTCCCTCTTAACTCTCCTATTGACATGTTCTTGCTGGAGCACGCAGGAGGGTGATAGGCTCTCTCCAGTCCTGCCTTCTTTCTTTCCTCTTACTGCTGTGCCATCTGCCCTAAATGCTAAACCTCTCTCTCTCCCTTGTTCTTGAGCTCACTCCAGTGAATACTTATAGTGCCTTTCTTGCTTTCCTGAACATTTTTTAAAGCCTCAGCTCTGCCTGGTTCACACACACAGCACTTCATTCTCTGTACTCTCTTAGGTCGCTTTTACCCATTTGTGCTGTCATCTCCTGACTGAGACTTAAGGCCTCTCCCTCGTTTTGGCCTAGAAGGCCTGGCACCATGTGGAGTGGGCAGAGGCTGTGTGGTGTAGTGGTTCATGCGTGGGCTCTGGGTTTGAATCTGGCCCCCATGCCCACCAGCTGTATGACATTGGGTAAGACAGTTTCCTCATCTGCAAAATGGGAACAATGATCCTTACCCAGATTTCCACTGTGGTTGCTGTGGTCTTCCCAGCCCTTGAGAGCTGGTTAAGGTTGCCCCAGACCTTCTTCCACGCCCTGTGGAAATCCAGGCCCCCATCCAGTCTTTCCTTGATTCCTGAGACCAGCATTCTCGTGGTCGCCTCTGCAGTTTTGCTTGTGTCTGCCGTCTCTGCCCCATGCTGGATTAACCTGGATGTTAAGCTCGTCTCTGCATTGTGTTTCATAAAATGACACCCCTTGTTCAGGGGATCGTGCTAAAGATCTGGGGTCACAGGAAGCAGTCATGCCACATGGCCCCGTACAAGGTAAATACTCGTTTCTGAAAGTCTCCAGTTCCCCCGCCATAGAAGGGAGAGGCAAGAGTGCCCCTCATCCACATCACGGCCTCCTCTCCTGTTCCTCAGTCTGCTCTCACCCTTCCATGTTCCCTGGATCCCCAAGATCTTTTGATATTATTCAGAGCACTTTAGTCCTTGTTCTAGACTCGCGAACCAGCCATGTTGAGCTGCTTTGTTCAACAATAGCCCTTCCACCAAATCCATCCTTCCTTCTTGAGAGGATGTTGGCAATTGCTTTTACTGTTAGAACCATATTTATTTCATAGAGTTAATATAAATGATCAAATGAAAATGCACTAGCCTCCCCTCGTGTATAGTTGTTATGACTGTACTTATTTGTATTTAACAAAGCTCTTGATTTTCGGGGGTAAGATAACCCATTTTTTAAAAAAACAGCTGGGTTGGATTTCTTTATTCATTCAGCGGACATTATTTGAGTGCTGTTGCGGCAGTGATTCTCAAACCCAGCATGGGGTGGAGGGTCGCACCCTCCTGAAGGGGCTTATCAGAGGCTTGAGAATGGGGAGAGGGTTGTCTTCAGAAGATAATTAAGAAACATTACTACGGTGTACTTGAGGGCACAGAGGAGGCAGATGAAATGTCAGCGACCTTTATTCTGTAGGCTCATTTTTAAAATTTCTGACAGTGAGAAAAGTTATCTTTGAAATGTTTCTGTTTTTTAAATTCATAATATTGATTTTCTTTAAAGCAGGCACGACTACATAAAGCAGCCTCTGTAGCTTGTCTTGCTGCCAGGTTTTTATGGTGGATTGTTGACTGAATGAGGAGAGTGATTTTCTCCTAGACTATTCTTAGCTGGACTCTAGCTGCAGCCAGACCACTCTTTCTGGAACCTTTCTTCCTTGGCGTGTATTCAGCTATATTTCTAATTCCCAAGAGTGTTTTGGGGACTGTTTACTGTTCCTCCAGGTTGCTTCTCACCTGTAGCACATGTTGAAGTGTCCTATTCTGGTTGCCTCTCATGTGACTTAAATTTCAGTAATTTTGAGCGGTGTGTTTTAGGGATTCATGAGTTTTTGACCCTGTTTGTGGTCTCACCTTTGCTCCTTCCAGAGAGTTCTCCTGTTCCGAAACATGGTTACCAAGGAGAAGGAGAAACTGGGCCTCGTGGAGACCAGCTCGGCCTCCCCTCACGTCACTCACATCACCATCCGACGGTCCCGGATGCTGGAGGTGAGAAGCCTCTCAGAAGGAGGTGTGCTCTCTGAAACGTGGGCTTTTGTGGATGATCTGTTGCCTCTGAACGTTCTTGTCACTCCTTGATCTAATGACACTGAAATCAAGGTTCTGGGAGCAGGAAAGCGACCATTCGTCCTGTTTCCTGCTCTGAGAGCTGCTTGATTAAACACGTCCTCATGCTGGAGACCCGCGGTGCAGTACTTCTCTGCCTTTTCCCCGTGAGGGCCCCCGGCTGGAGCAGCAAGCACGTGGTGCCTCTTCGAAATGAGGACAGGAACTGCCGTGTACAGACATTCTCCTGCTGTGCAGACTCCGTGTGTCCTGGCGGGCACTTTGCCCGGCTCCCGACTGTGAATGTGGAGGCTGGAGTGCAGGTGTGAAGTTTACTGAGCCATACTGGGGAATGTGTTTATCACAGCGCTAGAAGGTCTCTGCGGACATAAACTTACCAGATACAAGGGAAGTGGCCACCTCGGCCAAAGCCAGTGTCCAGGGTTACCACTATGTGGTGACTTCATGTGAATTAGAAATAGGTGCCTGTCCTCAGAACACTTTACTTCCATATGTCAGAAAATTGTCATAATATATAGATTTTGTTGGAACAAGACCCTGACTACAATCTGCTGGAACATTATAATAAATGTATGTACCTGTGATGTCTGTGTTATGTGTGCCACACCCTCCCCAGGGGTGGTGCAGTGCACAGCCTGCCCATACGTGCTAGTCCTGCCAGTGGTAGAGTTGGTGACTGAGCCCCAAGTCCCCATTCCCAGGAGAGGCTTGGCTTGGTTTATTTGCCCATGCTTGCTCTTTAGACCTTTTATCCCACTCTAGCCACAGTTCCATTAGCACGTTCTGCAGTGTAGGGCAGTCATGCGATCCCGGCACAGACATGGCCACACTGCCAGCCACCAGCAGATGGCAATGGCAGCAGCCCTTCCTCCCCACACGTCTTCATTTTCTGCTTTGAGGCATTCACACTCCTCCTGGAGAGCTGCTTTCACTTCCCCCGACAACTGGTGACTGACACTGGGGTCTGCCGGGGAAGGACAGCATGTGGTCAACAGAGGATGTTTTTGAAATTCTTAAAAGTAGGATAAGAAATGTAAGTGCCTGCAGGGATCCTGCAGGTCGTAGGAGTGAGTAAAGCTGGCTGTGTGTGTCTCAGCAGAGGAGCACCTTGTTTGCATGCTGAACAAGTAGGAGTATTCTTCACTTCCACTGCTCTCTGCTGCTTTTCTTGAAAGACAGCCCTCAGTCTAGGTAGCTCTGCTGAAGGAAAACAACCCCATGAGTAAGTTGGTAAATGACAGTTGACATCCAGCCTCAGTGTTGGGAGCAGTAGAGAGGGGTAGGCAGGTGGAGAACACTGACCCCCTAAAATAGGCCCTCTCCGCTCAGCTCCACCTGACTCTTGCCGTGTGGAGATTTGGGCGCCAGAATGCTCTGGTTTTTTAAGAGAAGGCCAAAATTCAGGATTCTCTGTGAAATCCCTAGATCTTTTTTATGTTGTGAATTAATGAAATTGTGTAAAATACCTGGAAGGTCAGATAACACCGTCTTCCCAGTGAATTCATCCTGTGGGCCACCAGTTTGCAACCTCTGCTTTGACGCAGAGAAAAGACAGCCTAATTGTGTTGTAGAAACTCCCTCCTCCAGCACTTTCCTCATCAGAGCTGGATGCCCCTCTCCTGTCTCTTCAAGTCCTCAGTCCACCGCCCGTCGTACCCACTCAGACATGGCCAGCACCAGTGGGAAGGCTGGGCTGGCAGAGACTGGTGTCTCCTGAGAGGGAGGGAATCCCCGACTCCCTCCGCAAGTGTCCTTGCTTATGGGACATTCACTTGACATCCCTGTTACCCTGGGCCTGCTTTTGAAAACACATCCCTCAGGGATGTCAAAGGACGGATGTCTGTCTGAGGTTTTAAGCAAAATCCATTTCCCTTTTTACATCCACTAGCATACATCTTGTCATGACATCGATCCCTGGTCTTCCTGTTGAATTAGGAAGGGGAGAGCTTGTTTGTTCAGTTACCCCAGTTGTTCTCAGGATTTGGTGGTTTGCTTGTAGAACATGAAAGCCCAGTGGCCTTTGCTTGATTTGGACACAAGGGGGCATCAAAAAGCTGATATTAGATTCATGTGATATCCTGGGCTTTTACTCTGTTTCCTTTTTTGTGGTTTGTATTGAAGGCAGTGCTTCTGTGTCAGGCTTCCAGGTGTTCATCTAACGTCCTGCAGCAAGGCTTCCTCACAGGGGAACTGGGGCTGGAACTGTAGTATTTCAGAACTGGAAGGAACCTAGACATCCTCTTGTCCAGCCGTTTCCCCTTACCTTGTCAAAGGCAGAACTGAAGCCAGAGAAGTTTAGATTCTCAAAGTCACTCGGGTACCGGTGGCAGAGCTGGGCCTGGGAGCCAGCTCTCCCAGCCCCAGGTCAGGGTTCTCTGCGTCTGCTCCTTGAGATGCAGTAGAGAAGAGCAGTGCCCTACTCCCACTCACCTTCCCAAAGGGCACAGATAGCATCCTCATGTACCAGCCCCACTGCCCAGAAGGTAATGGGGTGCAACAAGAAACACGTCTGAGGAGGCAGCTGGCAAAGTCCTCTCTACAACTTTTCAAAGAGGAGGCAAATGTGGGGCTGATCAGGCAAAATTGAGATCTGGCTCCAGCAAACATTCCTTGAGCACCTGCTGTGTGCTGGGCTGCGTGCTAAGTGCTTTTACACACACCATCTCGCTTAATCCGCACAGCGCTAACACACCTCCCAATGTGTATTATGTATGGCTAGGGAGGCATCGTTTTAAAGCAGAATGGAGGAAATCCTACAGGCAAGCAGGAGCACGTTGGAATTCTCTGCACTTCCTCACCTCAGTGCCAAGATAATGATCTTAAATTTAGGCAGAATGGTTTAAATGCTGCAGGAGCTGCAGGGTGACTTCCTGTGTTTTCCCTTCTTTTCACCTAAGGTTTTCAGCTTCATGTGCATAAAAAGTACTTTTCAGGACTATGCACCCCAAACCATGATCCCGTTCCCTTCGGGTGACTTAGGGGACTTCAGAGGTAATTTTTTCCTTGCTCTCCAACTTTGGAGCCTAACCCCTGGTAAGATTGAGAGCCACTAGAGGATGGTCCTTCAGATCACTAGGTGAGCACAAGGCAAGTGTGATCGGCAGGAAGGCAGCAAGAATTCCCCAAAACAGATCTTGCCAGACTGGCCTCATTTGCTTTGTGACAAGGGACCAGACTGGCAGACAAGCGGATGCTGTGGAGATGGTCTCTTACATGTTAGCAAACGTCTGACAGCACTGCACTGTGACTGAGAGGGTGAAATGTGGGGTCACCTCAAGAGGATACTGCATTTGATTTGCAACTTAGTGACAGCCTCTAAAGACATCGGTTTCACCCTGGTCACGGGGCCTCGCATGTTGGACCAGAAGACTCCTCCCTTGGCCCTGTCCTGTTCGGCACTGTTTTTTACAGTCACTGCTCGGAAATGAAAACCCAAGCTGCTTGCTTATCAGCGCCCACTGCTAGGAATACATTAGATGACAGAATCAGCAGCCAGGAGGGCCTCGACAGGTTGGAATCAGGAGACAAACTAAACCAGCGGATTTAGTAGGAGAACTCTGAAGTTGTGTCCTGGAGCTCTGGATGGGGGAGACGTGCTGAATGGCTGCATGTCTCTCGAGAGCTGACTACAAGCCAGAGGTGTGCTGAGGCTTCTCTTCCCTACTGCTCCTGCCCTCATCCAGGCTCAGCATCACTCCTGCACCCCCGTCTCCCTGCTTCCTTCCTTGTCCCCTGCCGTCCATCTGCTCTCCTACCAATAGAAAGATCTTTCTAAGACAGAAAGCCAGCCATGTCGCTCCCTGCCTAAACTCTTCTCTAGCTCTCCATTGCCCTCAGGATAGAACCTGAATGCCTCAGCATGACTGACAAGGCCTTTCATGATCTGCAGAAAGGTACCCAGAGTTGAGGGGTGGGAGGTACTCTTACGTGTCATTTTGTAGCGGTCTGGAAGTTTGATTGATTGATTTACCATGAGCTAAAAGTTATTCTTAGCATTAAAAGAGAGAGAGTGAGATCTTGTCCCAGGTTTTTTCCATCCTTTGTCTGATGTCCGAGAGCTCATCGTGACTCGTCTAATTTCCCCTTCTCACTGCTTTTGTCCTCTTGAGGGCAGTCGCCCTTTGCCAAAGAGCAGTGAAGTCACGTCCCCATGAGGAATTTTCCTTTTAAGACTCGTTTAAAAGCAGGTGAGAACTGCTCTTCTCGTGCACGTGCCCCATGCGTCCTTACTTGCACATTTAGTAGTTACACTGGGAAAGCTTTGCACAGGGGAGAAGGAGCCTCAAGGAGGGAGCCCTGAATTATGCAGGAGACCTTGGGTTCCTAATGGGCTGTGATTCCGCTCTTGGCAGGACGGCTACGAGCAGCTTCGGCAGCTCTCCCAGCATGCTATGAAGGGCGTGATCCGCGTGAAGTTTGTCAATGACCTTGGGGTGGACGAGGCAGGGATTGATCAAGATGGCGTTTTCAAGGAGTTCTTGGAAGAGATCATCAAGAGGGTGTTCGACCCGGCCCTCAATCTGTTCAAGGTATTTAAAGGGAGCGAGAGCAGGATTGACAGCAGCTGAATGTGAGGTGACAAATGAGAAGTGAAGGACCGGGCTTGCTCGTTATAGGGATTTAACCTCTCTGCCTCTCCCGTCCTTTTGCCTTGCAGACAACCAGTGGGGATGAGAGACTCTACCCTTCGCCCACGTCCTACATTCATGAGAACTACCTGCAGCTCTTTGAGTTTGTGGGCAAGATGCTGGGGAAGGCTGTGTATGAGGTAGGTGCGTTAAGGAGTGTTGAACTGGAATGGAAAATAAAATGTTAGAAGTGCCGTGGGCTTCATATAATTCATGTGTTCAGGCCCAGCCATGTAAACCACCTGTCATTAGGATCAAGTCAAGGAAAGAGAGACAGGAGCCAAGATTACTGGACGTAAATACTTGGTCCTTTGCACGTGTTAGCTCATTTAATCCTTTCAACAGTCCTGTGGCGTGGCCTCTGCTGTCCTACGTACATAAAGAGGAGAGAACCAAGCCTTTGAGAAATCCCTTGTCCAGAGTGTCATTGCTGGTTGAGCAGTAGAACCTGAATTTGAACCCAGGCTGGCTGGAGTTGTAGTCAGCCCTCTGCTTCCCTGAGGGGTTGGGAGTGGTGTGCAGAAGCCAGGTCTCCCTGTGGAAGCTTGGTCCCAGGTGTAGGTGGACAGCATTTGGTGGGGTTTGATAGTTGTTACGGTTGTTTTAAAATCTGTCGTTATTTGAGTGAGTGCGTCAGTGTGAGCCAGAGGCGCTTAGGAGGTGCCTGCAGACTAGAGCCTGAAGGTAGGACGTAGTCCAGATAACTGGTCAACAATGGTCTCCCCAGCCACTACGTGACGGTGTGTACAAATCACTTTACTTCTTTAGGCCCCTGTTCTCATCAGTAAAGTGGGGATAATAAAAGCTACGTTCTTGGGCTATTGTAGATGGTAAATGAGGTAATACTGGTAGAACACCTCCTGTGGTGCCTGGCATCTGGCCACGGGGAAGTCAGAGCTGCCGTCCTCCCTGTTATTAGGAGGAAGAGTAACTGAGCTTCCGCTCCTCGGCCTCATGGGGTCAGGGCGGTGTGGATTTCTGCAGGCTCCGGGTGAGGCCCACACAGCTCCTGATCCCTTCCAACTGAGAGCCGAGCCGGCAGCACTGCCTCCAGGTGGCACTGACCCTCCACTCGGAGAGTCCTGCTCCCCGGGAAGGAAGTAAAGCTGCAGCATATTTGTCATCGGCTAGTTTTGGTGGCCTTCACAGTGGGCTCCAGAGCCGCAGGGGGCCTCGTCTGGGGCCCGGGCTCTGCCGAGCTGCTCACCAGGCGCCGAGGAAGTGAGCCACCGGAGCAGCACTCATCTCGCACCCTCGGGAAGCCAGGATGCCTGCCAAAGGCAGAGAGCCAGCAGCTGGGAGCGGTTGAGGGAGGGAGGCCGTCTGGGGCGAACGTACTTGGATCCGTCGTTCTCCCCGTGTAAGCAGCCTCTGTCCACGGCCTCAGTCCTGGCCGTGACGGAGTCAGGTGCCCCATCTGAGTCCCTGCCTGAACACCCTCCAGTCCTCCTCCTGCCCTGGACTGGTTGAGTGGCCTGGGCTCATTCTCTGTGCTTCTGTTTCCACATCTGCAAAATGGAGACAATTTCTCAGTTCATTCCCATTTAAAAAGAAAAAAAAAAAATCCCATGAGGACCTGCCTGGGCACGTACCATGTTTTTCCTTTAAACGTGTAGCTGTGCTAGGACCCCGCAGAGGCTGGGCCAGCTGGAAAGCCTGACTTCCCGGCTTCTGTGAATGTCCTCCTCCATTTCCTGGGCCCTGTCTCTCTCTCCTCCCTCTCCAACAATAGTACAGACTGGAGAAATTAGGTGTGCTGGGCCCTGTGTTAGGAGCATCGTGTGTTGACTCACTTAACTCTCCTGATCCCCTGGGACAGGCCATCACCGAGTTTGGTTGACTCTCCCTTCTTGATCTCTCCAGTCTGCACACTTCTCTCCACCTAGTGCAATCTGTCAGCAGTTCCTGGCATTATGCTGCAGCTTCCTGGCTGTATCCCTGCCTCCTGTCGTCCTCTTCCAGTCCATTCCCCACAAAGTGTACAAATCTGGCACTTCCCTGCTTGGAGCCTCCCCAGGCTCCCTGCTGCCCTCAAGATAGAATCCAGACTCCAGAAGGCTTGTGGGGCCTTCCTGATTTGGCCCTGCCTGCCTCCCTGGCCTCTTTGCTTGTCTCCCCTCGCACACTGTGCTGTAGCCGGATAGATCTGTGTTCCATCCCTGGAGCACGCCTGTGGGCCTTGTGCTCCTTTAGGTCTAGCTTAGATAGCGCTTCCTCCTGGAAGCGTCCCCTGCCCTGCCCTGGATCTGGGTGAGAGCCTGTCCTCTGTGCCCCTCCACACCCTGTGCATTTAGTCCTTATAGCTGAGATGCTGTGCTGATCCCCATGTATGGATGAGAAAGCTGATGTCCCATGGCCTGGCAGCAGCAGTGCTGGGATTTGATCCCTGAGCTGTGCAACTCCACAGCCTGTGCCCCTGACCACTGTGCCGTAGTGTCCCCCCAGGAGGCACTCAGTTGTGTTTGTTAAGTGATGGGGAGGTATGGCTCTCCTGATTGAAACTTTAGGACGTGCCTAGAGATGCCTTTGGCACCCTCAGGGCCCCCTGTGCAGCCAGAGCCACCTTTGATCACTGAGCCCGAATCCTGGATGGTGGATGGCAAGCTTCTGTCTCTCCTGTCTCCCAGGGAATTGTGGTGGACGTGCCCTTTGCGTCCTTCTTCCTGAGCCAGCTGCTTGGGCACCACCACAGTGTCTTCTATAGCTCTGTGGATGAACTGCCTTCTCTGGACTCGGAGTTCTATAAAAACCTCACTTCCATTAAGGTCAGTGTGGAAACGGGGGAGGGCTTACCTGAGTGCTGGTGTGGACTCACACTGGAGTGCAGCCCCGCGGGGTTCACACTTCACCCTGTCAGGTGGTGACATAAGATTTCCTGCTGTGTCGGGCCAGTCCCCTGGCTTAGCGGTTAAGTGCTCGTGCTCCGCTGCTGGCGGCCCGGGGTTCGGATCCCGGGCGTGCACCAACGCACCACTTCTCCGGCCATGCTGAGGCTGCGTCCCACATACAGCAACTAGAAGGATGTGCAACTATGACATACAACTATCTACTGGGGCTTTGGGGAAATAAAAAAAAGGAGGAGGATTGGCAATAGATGTTAGCTCAGAGATTCTCAGCAAAAGATTTCCTGCTGTGGTAAAGGGACCCACCTGTAGCCACTGCAGGTCCCCACGTCCCCTTCTGAGCACTCCCTCTCAGGACTGAGGCTCACAGCCTCCTTCCTCGATGGGATGGGTGGCCTTTTCCTTTGCTTCAAGCTGTATGGCAGCCACAGTGGTCACTGCCCAGGCAGACCTCATAGGAGGGGAGCATTAAATTCTTCAAGGATGTTGTGCTCCTTGGCCCTTACCCTTTCTATTTCTCTGTTGCATTAGCGCTACGATGGGGACATCTCTGATCTGGGCTTGACGCTGTCGTACGACGAGGACGTGATGGGTCAGGTAGGTCGGCCTCTGTGCCTGAACTCTCCTTTCCGTCCTCCGTTGCCTTCCTGAGACCTGCCCCCCTCTTGGTGTTTTCCCCAGGGGTCCACAAACTGAGGCTCTGCCTATCTGTCTGGCCTCTCGTCCCCTCCGTCTCCCTCAGCCATCCCCCTTCTCCCTCCTTGCCATGAGAGAGGGCGGTCTGCCTTCCGTTCCCAGCTGACCTGGCCTTTGCCTGCTTGCCCCTTGGAAAGCTCCCCGCAGAGACCCTGCTTTGCTTAGATTGCACTTTCTGGTCATTCCTGGTGGAAGCTGTAACTCCCATCTGTAACATTGCTTTTCGTTCCCACGGTGAGGATTAGCTGTTACAAATGGAGGATTGTGACTTAAAGGGGAGAAGCCACCCGAGAAGAAGTGCCTCTCACAGGGTTCTGTCCTTGTTTGTAGTCGTCGTAAAGAGCGGAGCAGGAAAAAAATGACCTTTGAAATCGTGGCGGCAGAGGTGTTTCCTCCCAGAATTTTTCCTTTCAGCTCTTCTCTGAAATGCCCTCAGCCCCCTCCAGTTGCGTCCCAGTGGACACCTGCCTGAGCCTCTGTGTGCGGGTGCTCTGAGGGCTGCTCTGGGGAAGCCACACCATGAGCTTACTGTTAGTGCAGGGCTGGCTTCTTGGAGCTGTGCCTGTGTCGCCTCAGAGTGGTTGCTCAGTCTCTCTGAGCCACTTTCCTTATCTCAAAAAGTACCATTTGCCGAATGCGAGTGCTTGCTGGGACCGGTGTCACTGGACGCGCTGTGAACGCCTGCATGCCCTACCTGCCTGAAGAGCCACCGAGCACCCTGGCATATAAGGGCTCTGAGAAGCCTGGGAGAAAGAAACCTGGTATAGCTGTGTTAACCTCAACTTTCCCCAACTCCTTTGATCACAGAACTCCCCTTTCAGAGAAAGAATGACACCTCGCAGAATGATTCTCTGAGTACTAACTCACAGACAAGGTGTTACCTATAACCCTTGATGGGAAACCCAGGCTGGGTGATTCCTAAAGGCCCTCCCTGCTTTAAAATCCTCCGATGTGCCCCGAGATGTTGATAGCAGTGGGACTAGAGGCCACTGTTCTTCCTTTCTATATCTTTGGAGTCATATTGTATTAATAGAATTCCTTTTTAAATTAGCTTTAAAATTATGCATTCTTTGATTTTTAGATGACCCACAGAAGTTCTTAAATTGTGAAAAGCAGAGTTGATTTTATAGTTTTCAAATCTTTAATCAGATTTTTAGCCTTCCTCCTGACATTTTTAATTTTCCTCTCCTAATTATAAAAATAATGCAAACTTCTAACCAAAAATTCAGCTATAATATGAGCATAGAGATGAAAATGAAAAGCACCTAAATGCCAGTGCCGGGAGAGTGCCGCTGTGAACGTGTTGCCTGTGTCCTTCCAGGTTTTTCTCCCTGGGCACATATATAACTTTTTTTTTTTTTTTCCTGGAAATGGTACCATACCATGAATGCTATTATATAATCTGCTTCTTTTCTCACCTCTTCAATAAATATATGTTTTCATCGTATTTTTTAATAGCTGCACAGTATTCCGGAGTATGGTTGTACCAACATTTACTTAACCTTCCTACTGTGCTCTTAAATGCTAACACATTCCCCTCCATGACATCTGAAGCCTTAATACAAATGTTTGAACAAGGGTTGGATGACAAGAAACCTTTCATATTGATCATGCAGGGTGTGCTTGTTGATATTTAAGCCCTGGCTTTTTGTGAGAATGATTGTTCCCCAATATGTCCCATCTTAAGTCTGTTATTATTATGGCTGTTGGTGACGGGCCTTTTTCTCTTCAGGAAGCTTTATTTCCCCATTAGAATTCTCGAGTAATTGCTCCCCATCTTCTCCCCCAGCTTGTTTGCCATGAACTGATTCCTGGAGGGAAGACCATTCCTGTTACAAATGAAAATAAGTGAGTATAGCAATTAGATTTTTAAGGTCACCACTTGAAAAGACTTCATTCTAGCTCTCTGGGCTTACTTTGAGAATTTATTAAGATGGATTGAAGTAGAAAGAGGCCATAAATATCATAATGGAATTTACTGGTTACAGTTCATAGGCTGAAATCGTATTAAATTCTATTTGCAAAATAAGAATTGACAATTTATTTTTTGCAGTAGCACTTCTAAGGTCAGAGGCACCCGGGCCGCAGTGTTCCTGGGAATTTATTGATGGCTTTGGATGCAGGCGGATGGATTCTGAACTGTTCAGACACGCAGGCCTGAACCCAGAGGGCACGGAGGCAGAAAGACACCTTGGAGGGGCAGATCATTTTAGAATGATAGCATGTGGCAGTTGTATAAAACACTGTTCTTGAGAAGACACAGTGATGAATTCAAATGCAGCAGACAAGTCCTTAGACGTGGGGAGACTCTGAGGCCTGGCAGCTATCGTCACAGATAACAGGCTTTTAGGAATCTATCATAAATGTCAACCTCTTTGGTCCCTAGAAGCAAAACCCTTCCATGCACTGTCTCCCCCGGCCCTATTCTCACCTAATTAAAACAGCAGAACCTGGCATGAGGAGTAGATATTGGCCCTTTTGTCAATCCATCAATCTTCTGCCATCAGGCTCAGCTGAGCATCTGAACTGTTAATCTAAGCATCACTCTCTTCAATGACAAGTGAGAGCTCAGCGCCACTCGATGAGTCATTGGGATCAGATGCACATTACAGCCCAGTGTTCCTGAGCATCATGTCCCTCTCAGGTCGAGTGGTTCAGTCAGTCTACATGCTTGGGGAGCTTTTATTTAGACTGTCAGAGTCGCCGGAAGAACAGACCCGATTCTCCTCGTGATTGAAATACCCTGGTTGTGACTCTTGGCCACGGGGCATTAGTTTGACAACTGAGAAAGAACAGAGAGCACAGGTTGGGAGGGGCTGCCTGGAGGCGGCAGAGAGCAGAGGTGGCTCCTATTCCTGCCTGCCATGTGCCCTGTACCACCCCTTCAGAGGGCTTCCTGTGAGATAACACATGTAAAATACCTTCTGGGATGTCTGGCTCAAAGGAGAGCCTTAATAAATGAGAGCAGTGATGGTCACTATCATCGCATATGTGACATGTCACGTAGAGCTGGCCACCCTCAGATGGGCCCTGTTTTGCCGGCATTGTGGCACAGGGGTGGTGGTAGAGGCTGTGTGTGTAACAGCCTGAGGAAGTGGGTCCATGCAGCCTGTGTTGGAGTGAAACTCCTGTCCTGCCTTGAAAGCTCCTTGTGGAAAGTCATTTCGCAAATTCTCACATGTTCTTAGCATAAAACCTCAGAATAAGGCAAGGGTATTCAGTTCTGCAGACTATCTGAAAAGGCCTGGCAACACCAGTTTTCCCTGCCTTAGGGGTGATGTTTGATCTTGCACTTCCTGGGTGTTAAAGGAGAAAGTCTCCCACACTCCCTCTCTTTCTTGGTAAAATGGAACAGTATTAGTATGCTTCAAAGAGTTCATGAAAGGAGTAACAATAATAGAAAAAGTCATATTTATGTGTATTAATGGGCAAGTTTGCAGCTGGAGAATTTTTTTTAAATAGGGATATTTTCAACGTCGGTAGTTCAAATCTGAGCATTGTGGGGTAAAACAGATTTATTTGGACTCCACTATTTTGGGATTTTGAGAGTTCTGTCTGGGCTGGGCTCAGGTTCTTTCATCTCTGAGTAAATGGTTTGCTAAGAAATCAGCAATGGTAACAAGCCTCTTGAATGTATTTAACCTGTTCAAAGGAATTATATTATGTTCTACAGTTGTAGATGAGGTCATTTTGTTCATAAAAGCAGACCCAGAAGACCATCTGCTAGGAACATTGTTAGTGCTCTGACTTCCCACTGAACCTAAACATAAGCCAGCTGTGTTTGGTGAAAACTTGCTGCAGGCTTACCTTTTCATGGCCTAGACTCTTGGTCCAGATTAGCAAGATTTTTATTGAAGTTTTTTGTTTTTTTTTTTCTGAGGAAGACCAGCCCTGAGCTAACATCTGCCAATCTTCCTCTTTTTTCCTGAGGAAGACTGGCCCTGGGCTAACATCCATGCCATCTTCCTTTACTTTATATGGGACGCCGCCACAGCATGGCTTAACTAGCGGTGCGTCAGTGCACGCCCGGGATCTGAACTGGCGAACCCCGGGCCGCTGCAGCGGAGCAAGCGCACTTAACCACTTGCGCCACCGGGCCGGCCCCCGATGATTGAAGTTTTAACAGGAAACAATTTTTCTCTGCTTCAAAGCTTGTTGGAGGACTGAATTATATCTTAATTGGTTTATGTCCAAAACAAATAAAATAAAGGTCCAGAAATCACCCTTTGTGCTAAGAAAGGTCCTCTCCTTACCTAGAACATGTCTTACTTTGGTTCTTGACCTAGTAGGGTGTTATCCTGATGTATGACGCACTGGCATTTTGGGAGGGATAAATGAGGTAATGCCCTTGAACACTTGTCGCATTCACAGTGTCACGCACGTGCCCTTCAGGAGAGTTATCATCATCATCACCATCGTTCTAGTGGAATGCTGTGGTGTTAACTTGTATTTTTGTAAAATGGTTCAGAAGTAACCAAACTCATGTTTCAGCCCATTGGTAACAGCCTGCCCTGTCTTATTAATTTCCCTTGTTTTTTCTTGTTGGCCACAGAATTAGCTACATCCATCTGATGGCACATTTTCGAATGCACACTCAAATCAAAAACCAGACAGCTGCCCTCATTAGCGGATTCCGTTCCATTATCAAGCCCGAGTGGACCCGGATGTTTTCAACCCCTGAGCTACAGCGTCTCATCTCCGGTGACAATGCTGAGATTGATCTGGAAGATTTAAAGTAAGGGGCAAGTGAGGAGGAAGGGTGAAATTCTTAGGGCTCCTAAAGCAAGCTGCTCCCTTCCTGGGTTCCTCTGGAAAGTTGTTTCAGGAGCCCGTCTCCAAATGTCCCCCTCCGCCCTGAGCACGGGAGGAGTTGCCTTGGAGTGAAAGCACAACCACTTGTCTGCCTGGAGACTGAGAAGCGGCAGGGATCTTAAGGACTGCTGGGCTCTAGAGTTCCAGGAAAGGGTATTGCAGGATCTCCTGTCGGCCTCTGCTTGGGAACAGCAGGCCAGCTCTTGAACTCTCCACCCATTTAGCTTCCAGGGCTGTGGGGTTATTAAGGCTTGAACCTCTGGCTTTTACAGAAGTTAGTTGTTACCCAGCCTGCCAGAGTTTGCCGTGCTGCTTGTCTGAATTCCGTGCCTGCCTGTGTATGTGAGCACCTGTTAGCATGCGTGGCTGAGCCCATTGTCTGGCTTGTTTTCAGGAAACACACGGTGTACTACGGTGGTTTTCATGGAAGTCACAGGGTCATTATCTGGCTCTGGGATATTCTGGCCTCCGACTTCACACCCGATGAGAGAGCCATGTTTCTGAAGGTATTTTATATGTTACCTATACATATGTTCATGTGTATATAGATATTCTCATGAAGCTGGAAGGCCAGTGATGGAATAATTTACACTGGAAAAAATAAAATTATCAAGCGGACCTTGTCTTGTCAGCATCGTCTGCCATAGACGGGCCTACCCAGTCAGTCAAGCAGTGACCAGAGAGGAGCTCGAGGGGAGGCTGAGCCTGTGAGCCTGCCAGCCCGCTGCCTACCCCTCTGCAGAGACAAGCCTGCGTGGACGGGCGTGCTTGTGGGGCTCAGCACTTGTCGTCCCCTTTGCTGCTGCTGGTTGTGCTAACATCTCGTTTCTTGCTTTTCATTTCATTATAGAAGTAAACAGTATTTATTACCGTAAGGTAACTTAAAATACAGACAAGCAAACTTTGTTAAACAATCTCCTTTCCTACAGTGCAGGATTTAAACAATCTCCATTCCTCCTCACCGGGGACTACCTCTGTGTGCCCTTTTTCTCAGTAGTGTGAAACATACAGTACCACACACACACAATGTTCCAGTGAAATTCACGATCAAGGAAGCTGCTGTCAATGTGTATTTTTGAAGTAGAGTCACTGACATTAACCAGTGCCCCTGTGCTGGTGTCTTTAAAGTTGTAAAGGTTCAAAATGTTCCCCCCATGCCACCGTGTTGTTTTTTGTTACTGACATCCATGAAGTGTTTTGTAGGTCACTGGGTGACACACACTTGTCTATGTGTTATATGTGTGTATATTTTTGTAAAAATAGAATCATGTCACTTTGCCACCTGCTCTTCTATTTGATATTTTATCATGAACACTTTGCCAAATTGGGGGGTTAAATTGAAGTGCCTTGCAATATTTTCCTTTGGACACTTGGGTTCTAGAGTGGTCTCGTGTGACCTTAGTTGTTGAGTATGGACCGTATCATCACCAGTTGAAATGGCAGCGGCTTTCTTTCTCCTTGGTTTGTCATTCTGAGGAGAGATCATTCCTGTCAAGGAGGCCCTCACTCCAGCCCACAGAGGCAGAAGTGTGCTGGTCATCCCTGCGGGTCTCAAGGGACTTGGGGTGGGCAGATGGACATAATTCCAGAAGTTGCTTCTCAAGAGAATCAGTTCACTTTTTCCAGCAGTGCTTCTTGTAGGCACAGCAGTCTCTGCCGACCTGTAAAACCAGTCACCCCTGCCTCTCCTAGGAAGAGAGGAAAGCCAGTGTCTCTTAGCCATGCAGTCATTGCCCCTCACAGCGGGCATGTTTGTGTCTTTGGATGGCCTGTCACCAAATCTGCAGTTCTTCCGTGTGCCTGCCCTTTTCCATGCCTTCAGACCGGCCCCCGAGCCAGGTAGAAGACACGGAGCTGTTGCACAGGAGTGGCTGTGCCTGTACCTTCTTTAAATGTAATGACAGCAGAGCACCTGGAGGCTCCCGTGCCCTCCATTCCTCCTCCTGTCCCAGGAGGCTGACAGTGCCCCTCCCTCCTTTGACCAGCCCTGGCTTGCAGCAGGCAGTGGGTCTGAGTGGCCTGAATTGGGATGTGCACAGACTTTTCTGGGTCTGTCTCCTCATCCTTAAAACAGGTCAAGTCACACAGCATCCATGGAGTAATTAGATGAGATCAGCTTCGCAGAGCACTTGGCATAGTATGGAAATGCAGTGCTTTCTAAGTGGGAGCTGCTGCTATGGTTTTTATGGTGGAAAATAAAATATATTAGGACAGTAATATATGTTGTCGATTCTTTTTGTAAAAACTGTTTTTGAAGCATGACACACGTAAATGGTCTTTGGATGGTCTCAGGAATCTCACAACCATTTATAACACTGTTTAAATGGTAATATTTATTTTAAGATCCAGACACTTAACTTGCCACAGAATTTTGAAGTGCAGCTTGGTGTTGTAAGTAGCAGGTCCCTTTATTCCCTAGAGAAGGGAGAGCATTTTTGGTTAATGTTGAATTAAAGAAAGTGAGTGATTTCTTGGGACTTCCCTGTGCAGGTTTATCACTTGGGTTTCCAGGTTGGTCAGATGCTTCTGTCCAGGCATGAGGTAGCATATTTGGGGAAGTGATACAGGTGCTGCCATCTAGATGGAAGACGCAAGGAATTCTAAGAGTGTAGCAGGAAAGTGTGGCTGGCTGCCCATAGGCCCCATTTGGGGTGCCCGGGCCCTTGGTCTGCCCCTCAGCTTCACTGGCTCCCGAGGCCTGATGTTTGTCAGTGTGCTGAGAGCAGGTTGGTCTGTCAGAGAGGGTCTCCCAGGAGCCGAGCTCACAGAGACTGCTCTGTAATCCAGCAGGCCAGGGTGCTCAGGTGAGCACACCCGCACATCCTCCCCTGCATGGCTAAGAAGCTGAGCAGGAAGCCAGGTGCAAAGCGAGTGAGTGCAAAGGTCGTGTATCCACACCAGGGCTCCCTGCGTCCTGGCTCCAGGGCCCTCAGCTCTTGGCACGGGCCTCTCTCCCATGCCACACTTCCTGGGCTCCACCAGCGTCTACCTCGCCCTCTCCTCTCAGGTGCTGTCACTGCATGGTGTCTCTCTAAGGAACGGTGTCAGTGAGCAGCTGTGATTCCTGCTGCCCGCATGATAGTCCCACTGGAGATCAGTCCCTTGGTGGGGAGTTTTTGGGGGTCCTGAACTCTTCAGCCACGCATTCTCCACCAGCCCCTGGATTGACTCCCACAAGTGACTAGTCGTGTCCACTGGTGTGGATTTCATGTGTTTTAGCCCCAGAGAGCAGCACCCTTAAGAGAGATGTGAGATGTATACCAGTTCTTGGGCCAAATGCACCCTCTGTACCACCCTGCAGCTGAACAGCGGTTAATGATACAGTGACTGGAGAAAGCCCAAGAGCACAGCTCGGCTGTCCAGGGCCCATTTCTGAGGGAGCGAGAGCCCCACTCTGTCCCCCGACCCTGCCTTGTGTTGCAGTTTGTGACCAGCTGCTCCAGGCCCCCGCTCCTGGGATTCGCCTACCTCAAGCCTCCTTTCTCCATCCGCTGTGTCGAAGTGTCGGATGATCAGGTACCACTGCTGAGGGGAGAGTTGGCCCCTCTTGGGTGTCGTCTGCTGTGCCCACCAGGTGGGGCCTTCACCCAGGCTGTGTCCGCAGGGCGGACAGCAGGCTCTTCAGAGCCAGGTGAGAAGGTTTCTCGGTTCTCTGGCCAGGAGAGCAGGTTGGGCCCACAGAGGGTCCTCCTGGACTCGGGCTGCTCTGGGGCCTCAACACTCTTAGAGGTCCCTTTCTCTTCACTCCCGCAGGGAATGTACCTGGAGCGTGTTTAGTAGCTGCTGGTCTGGCCAGGACTCCAGTATGGGAGGCAGTGTGGGAGAGGGGTCAGGCTGTGGGCTTAGGAATTGGACAGGCGCAGGCTTGAATCTAAAGCCTCCACCCTCTGGCTGTGCACATCTGGGCAAGCTGCTTCGTTCCCTTGTCTGTAAAGGGAGAAGGGATGCCTTAGGGGTTGTGCTCTGCGTAGGGGGTGCTCAGATAGTAGCTGTTGTTGAAAGGGTCTCGCCACCCTCCATAAAAACCCAGTGGCCTCTGAGTGTAGCTGCCTTTCAGGATGCTGCATTCTGGGCTCGGGATCCCTCTGGTATGACACTAGGCCATCCTCAGCCCCTTGACTGAAGGACGGCTGCCCCCAAGTTACAGTCTGCCATGGGCACAGTGCTGCCAGGTCAGGGAGGAAATGTGAGGCTGCATTCAGAAATGTTTTGGCACCTAAAGTATTTTTACAGTATTCTGGCTCTTTGAGAATTGATTAACCAATAATTAGCAGCTAACTAGAAGGCCCCATTTCTAAGCACTTACTTAATACAGAATTCCCCTGTGCAGGACCTGAGGAGCCAGGGTTGCTTCTGTGCACTCACCTCCCAGGGCCAGCTGGCCAGGTTGGGGGCTGGCCTCAGGCAGCGGTGTCTGGTCACAGGCCCAGCTGTGCTAGGGCAGCGCCCCGCACTCTGCTTAGCACCCGGGGGCTGGCCAGGCCCTCTCCCTGTGCCACCCTCTGTGGCACCTGCCCAGGCTCCCATGCCAGGCTCCTCCTATCCTGAGGCTGTGCTGTGTGCTTGCAGGACACCGGGGACACCCTGGGCAGCGTCCTCCGGGGCTTCTTCACCATCCGCAAGCGGGAGCCAGGCGGCCGTCTGCCCACCTCCTCCACCTGCTTCAACCTGCTCAAGCTGCCCAACTACAGCAAGAAGAGCGTCCTCCGGGAGAAGCTGCGCTACGCCATCAGCATGAACACGGGCTTCGAGCTCTCCTAGCCCCCGCCCCGCGCCCGTCCGCCTGGCCTCGCCCACTCCTGGGCTGCAGGGACCTTCAGGCCAGGAGGCAGCCTTCCCCGGGGAGCGTGCCCGACATGCCAAGTGACAGCAGCCCACAGACACTCTCTATAGCCATGAGACTCCCCTGTGGCCTCCAGAACCGTGGATGCACGTGACGACTCGACACAGCATTCCCCAGGTGACACTAATGGGAAGGGGGTGTTGAAAATAAACCTCCAGATTCCGCCAGCATTAGTCCTCCTCTCCTACTTGCCGCTGGCCTGAAGCCTGGGCCGGGAGTGCAGAGGAGCTTCTCTTCTTGGTAGTCCGGTCTGTCTGTGAGTCTCTCTCTCCTTAACTTTCTGAGCGAGCTGTGCATGAACAAGTCCCAGGAGCTGTAGGAGTCCAGAGTGGTTTCGTGGCATGGGCCTGAGAGCACGAGGCCTGCTACGCGTGAGACGCTCTCCTTCCGTTTCTGAAAACTCTCCTCAGGTCTGGCCTGTCCAAGCCTCTATGCACCCGACAGTCTCGGCCTCCACTCCGTCCACAGCAGCCTTGCTCCAGGCAGCCAGGCCCGGCTGCTCCCCAGGGAAGCAGAGGCGCCTGCTGGGGAGGCCGTGCAGCACAAAAGTTCAGGGCACTGCCCACACCTCGAAGCCACCCCTTCCACCTCAAAGTCCCCCTTCCCCACTCTCGCCTCAGATGCCCTGAGTCCTCAGCAGGGTGAGCTGCCAGGGGACCTCCACTGTCTTGTTCCCGCCTTGTGCATGCACATTGGCATCCTATGTTTGGGAGAAAATAACCTGTTGGCCCTTAAGAGCAGCTCCATTTCCAGAAGGCACTGGCTGGTACTCCAAGCCTGCTGATTCTCAAGGGGGCAGCTGCCTTTCCCCTGCTTGTTTGCCTCACCTGTTATCTAGGCAGGAGCAAACACTAGTCGAAGGTACCTATCCCGTCTGGGAAGTGGCTTTACTCCATAGATTGTAGAATCCCAAGAAATTTGGGTCTTGCTACCCGTCCTTCCTCAGCACAGGGGATCCGGAAGCCCTTTGCACTGACGGAGACTCATGTGGCTGAGGAACCTCACGTGCCCTCTGGGTTGGGTTTTTTTGTTTTGTTTTTACTTCATTTTCTCTTCTAACCCGTTTTACTCCTTTGCCCTCATTCTTCACCTTTATCATGAGAACTTTACTCTAGATCCAGGGAATTGAGGCAAAGGCCGTGTTAGTGGTCTGTATTGACAGCCATCCACCCTCGCCCACCTCATCACATTCCTTGTGCATCCCCACCGCCAAGATTGAAACCAGAAGAGAAGCCAGGAGCGCCTGGTCCCTGCTCCACTCTGTGGGGCCAGCATAGGGCGTGCAGCTCTCTTCCAGGCAGCAGAACCCCGTCCAGCAAGAACCTTCCTGTTGGCGGCAAGGAGGGCAAGACCCCTCTCCATCCTCCATCGGATGGTCTCAGCTGGGTGCCAGTGTCCCGCCCGGGTCCACACCTGGCCATGTTAGAGCCCCTGGACCTCTGGAGGACAGAGTGTGCATTTTCTGATGGAAGGGTGGCAAGGAATTTGTTATTATTATTTAAGATTTGTTAGTAACCTCTGATTCCATGGATTTGCCACTTTCTTTAAATGCTCAGTTCCTTTGAAGATCTCTTCTGAACATGTGTGGGTACACTGAGCAGGTTTGTACATTTATGCTGGGGTCTAAATAATCATCAGCCTGCACAAGGAAGTTTGATCACATCTGGATTTTCATTACCTGGGAATCAGCCAGTGTGGGACTGAGGGGAGAGTGGTTTCTAAGCACCAACATCAACTTTGTTTTTTGACGAGGAGGGGTAGTTTGTAATTTCATTTAAATTCCTCTCCAACAGCTGGAAATGTTGCACTATCTAAAACACTGAATCTGTACTTTTATAGCTGGTGTTCATTGACACCTCGACGGCTCTTGATGGCTCTAAAAAGTTGTGGGTTTTTTTGTTTTCATAGATAACTTATGGATTAAAACGTGTTAAAGGCTTGATTAAATTTGTACTTCAGCACATGATAGCTGTGTTCTGCTTTTTATCCAAAGAAGGAGCGCTTTCCCACTGCATGCCCAGATAGCTCAAAATAGGGCAGCTGGGGCTTCAAGAACACATCAGCTCCCACAGGGGATGGAAGATGCCAAGGACAGTAGAACAGGCATTGAGTCCCACCGACTAAGCAGAGTTAATAGCGGTTGACAGTTTGTCGTATCTGCTTCCAGCTTTGTCTTACGAAGTAACACGTTTCAGATAAAGCTAGAGTCACTGTAAGCACCCTCCGTGCTCCCGCCCTTCTCACCTGCTTTTCAGAGGCAGCCATCACCCTGGATTACATGTTGCACACAGTAAAGTATACAAGTGATAGATGTTCCCTGAAAAGAATCCAGCTAATTCAACAGTGTATGAAGGAACATCTTACAGCTACGCCGGGGTATATTCAGCTTTTCTTCCTTACTGAGGTTCGTACTTGCAGGACACACAGCCCTGTCTCATTCTGTTAAACAAGCCCAGATTTACATGCAGCAGAAATCCCATCTCAAACGTGCTAGTTTTTCCAGCCCCACCTTGGGTGACTTTTCCCCTCCCCCATGAGTTCTCACTGCCTCCCCTGGCCTGGGGCACCTGAGGATCTGAGCGCACCACCGGCCGGTTGAAATCCGGGGATTCAGGAGAGAAGTCTTGAAAGCCTGGCAGGCCCTTCTACGACAGTTGGAACACCTGGGCACCCCAGAGGGATTCGAGCATGCCAGGCTTTCTCACCTGGAACGTTTACAGCACGAAAGGAAAAAAATACCGCAAAGCCCCTGGTGTGAGACACTCCCACCTAAAAACCCAGTGCCTTATTCTGTGACATTTTGGCATTCAATTACAAGTTATCACTGCAAAGAGAAAGTTTGTCTTTATAAGTAGGAAAAATAAGTGGGTTTTTAAAAAAATTATTAAAATGAAGACAATTTTAATACACTGACAATTTATAAGTGCGTAATAATATTTAGGACGAACACAGTTTGAGAAACACCAGTCTTCACTGTTTCTGACTGCAGCAAAGCCATCAGCCCTTGGCCTGTTGGCTTAGCTGATATCACGCTGCTAAAGGTATGTGATAGTTATAAACTATCACATACCTTTAGGTGGGTTATTTCTAAGTTTGGCTAATGTGTAGATCCAGGGCTCCCTTAGGCCTCAGACTGATTTCCTGGAAACTTCTTAAAGTGATAGGAGCAGCTGAAGAACTGTGGAAAGTGGTTGGTTCAGCGTACTTGTCCAAGAAGCAGAGCGAGGGCTCTAGACTGCAGAGACGGGTGTGCGACCCCAGTCCCTCACTTCCTGACGCTGGGTCAGCCTCTGTGTGCATTTCCCGAGAGTCCTGACGCCAACTGCAGGGGGCGCCAAGAATCCAAAGGAGTCATGTGTGAAGAGCACCGAGGCAGCACTCAGACGTCAGTCTTCTTCCTACATGTCCTTGCCTTGCACTTGAAGAAAACTGGGCTGCCCAGGCTCTGGCCGGGCTTCCAGAGTAGCTTCTGCTGCTACTGACAGTCACAGCGGGCAATGAGAAATCGCGTGGAGCAGGGTCATCTGTGAGCTCTGTGGAACTTCTGCAGGCTGGGGGGATAGGCACACTCCCTCCTCTGCGCTGCCCATGGAATCGGCTAAGAGGAGCAGTGCATGAGCAAAGGGTTCTTCAGCCAGAAGCCTCTGGGCTGAGGCGTTTCCAGGCGTGTGCAGGCCGGGGGCACCTCGCTGTACTCACACTCACACTCGGTGTTAAGACTGTGATGGAGAAGAGGCTGCACAGAGGCCCAGACGGGACCCACGGTTCTCTCCAGCCTTGGGAGTGCCGAGTCCGAATGAAGTAGCCTCCTCCTTATACTCATCGTGATAGCTAACATTTGGTGCAAGCACGTGCTTAACAGATTGCAGCCGACTCCAGAGCCTGGGCTAAGCCCTCCCGGGTCTAACTGAGGGCACTGGGGAGAGCAGGGGCTTGGGAGCATCTGGAACTGGGTTCGCGTCCCAGCTCAGCCGCTCCCTAGCTGGGAGGCAGGGATGAGGCCCCGTGCTTGTCTGGGCTGGAGTGTCCTCTTCAATAAAATAGGGGTGGCCGCACCCACCAGGCAGTGTTGCCTGAAAAGCCCCAGCGGGCCCTCAGTGGACAGCCTTGTGGCTGTTGTAACTGCCGACATTATTTTGTTCTAGGGACTGAACTGAGGCCCTCTCTGGAGTTAATCTTTGTTTCTCAAAGTCCTTGCTAGGAGGCATCCACTGACATTACGACATTCGAGGAGCTTCGGCTGGGCTTCACTTCAGCCCCAGGTTTGCGGGGGCTCCTCTGCCTGAGCCCTGGCCGTGCCCTGAGCTTCCACCGCGCCCTCGGGCTCAGCGTCTCCCCGCCTGGGGCCAGCAGCCGCATTCCCCTCATGGTTTTCTCAGCCCTTGGCAGTTGGGTGGTTTCTGAGCCGTAGGGAGACTCAAAGGCGTGGGTGGACTGGGGTGGGGTCTGACAGTTTACAGACCCTCCACCAAGAGAGCCAGACAGCGAGAGTGTATTCAGTAATGACAGAAGAAACCCCACTGAGGATGTGCCCCGCATCTCTGACCCCAGAGAAGCCTGCAGAGCAAGCCGAAAGCATCAGCCCAAATCAGAGCTCCCCAAACGTTGGTGTGCACACGAGTCAGAAGGGAGACCCTGATTCAGCAGGTCTGGGTGGGCCCGGGCTCCCGTACCCTGACAGGCTCGCAGTCACCGCGGGGCAGACCGCACTCAGGAACAAGGGCAGGAGCGCATCCTCTGCCCAGGCCCTGCGTTCAGGCGGGTGGGATAAGACCCTGAACTTCGTGTCAAAAGCTGGCTCAGGTCAACCGAGTGACACCGGGCAAGTTTCCAACTCCCTGAACCTTCTTTCCTCATCAGGAAAACTGTGCCAGGAATAGTAATACCTGTCCTGATGACCTCACAGACAGCTTGGGGCAGTGGTGGAAGCATGGGCTGAGTCGGACAGACGTGGGTGCCGAGCCCAGCCCGGCCATCACTGGCTGCAGGAGCCTCACTCTCCTCATCTGAGAAATGGACATGAGTCGCCTTAGAAAGCAACTCCATGGCAATGGGACAAGTAGTGCATGGAGGTCAGAGAAGAGGGGTCACATGTCTAGGGAGAGGGAGCCACAAAGGATGTGGTGTTTTATTTTCACCTGGAACGAGGGTTTCCATTTTGGAGATGGGA